GGTGACCCACAGACTGGGGTGGGGCCAGGTTCACCTCTCCTATTCCCCAGTCTTAAAGGTGGCAAAGGCCCTTGGAGCCACCTTGCTGGCCCGCTAAGGAGCTGTGGCGAGGAACACACCCCATCAGGGCTGACTCCTTGCTGGGAACTGGGTGAGGCAGATGGACATGGTGCTGAGCGACAGTGAGGTTCCCCCCACATCCTTTTGCCTGCCCTGCTGCATCTGCTGCTGAGTCAGGATCCATCTGGGGAGCCACCGTGGGATGTACTATGATGCGCTGGGCTGCCTCCGAGGGCCAGGCAGGCTTTGAAGAGAGGCAAGAAGCTCAGAGGAAAATCAAAGGCACTCTGTTTCTATCTGCATCCACTGCTCGGTCCCAGGGGTCATTCTTTGCCAGTCTCAGACCTTGCCACAGTGCTCTGGCCAAAGCACCCCTTAGGCACTCCTTGGGGACTCCAACATGTGCTTATGCCAGGCGCTGGCCTGGGCACATCCCCATGCTCCCTGGCACAGCCCTACAAGGTGGACGTGGCAAGAGTAAGGACTGGTGCCTGACCTGCATCTATCTCAGCCCTTCCCTACTCACTGCCTCCACTTATGGAGGCTGGAGTTTTTCAGTGGGGTATGGACATTTTGGCATTTGGATGGGACATTTTTTTTTTTTCTAGGGCTGGACAATTCTTCATGTAAGACTGTTCCATTTGTTGCAGCTAAATCATTGTGACAACCCAAAATGACTCCACACATTTCCAAACATCCCTTAGAGTTCGCCCCAGGTTGAAACCCACTGAGCAAATGTTGGATCTGTGCAACCGGCAGGCTGGCTGCGAGGCTTCCCTTTGGCAGTGACATTGAGGGGAAGTCTTCAGGTAAACAGGTTTTTCTAAGAAAAAAGACAAAGATGATGAATCCTCTCTCTGACCTCCTGAACCAAAACCAGCAACCACACATGGCTGAGCTTTTCGAGATAAATGAACAAAGCTGCTGTTTTGCAGGAGGTTGGAGCTTTGCAATTACCTGCAGCCAAATGCATTCCTAACTGAAATTCACACCCAGACATTCTATGATTCTGCCCTGACTCATTCCTCTCTTTCCCTTCTTCCTTCCTTCCTTCCTTCCTTCCTCCCTTCCTTCCTTCCTTCCTTCCTCCCTTCCTTCCTTCCTTTGCTTCCTTCCTTCCTTCCTTCCTTCCGCCCTCCCTCCCTCCCTCCCTCTCTCTCTCTCTCTCTTTCTTTCTTTGAGACAGACTCTCACTCTGTCACTCAGCTCTGTAATCCCAGCACTTTGGAAGTCCTAGTTGGGCAGATCACCTGAGGTCAGGAGTTTGACACCAGCCTGGGCAACATGGTGAAATCCCATCTCTACCAAAAATACAAAAATTAGCTGGGCATGGTGGTGCATGCCTGTAATCCCAGCTACTTGGGAGGCTGAGGTAGGAGAATCGCTTGAACTCCCAGAGGCAGAGGTTGCAGTGAGCCGAGATCACAGTACTGCACTCCAGCCTGGGCAACAGAGCAAGAGTCTGTCTTAAAAAAATAAATAAAAATAAAAATGGCCACAGAAATATTTCCAGTCCCATGTGTTCTTCTAGAACTTTACCACTCTCCCATAGGGGATAGAGTCTTTTTCCCCTCTCCCTGCAGTTGGGCAGGCTTTTGTGGCTGCCTTGATGAGTAAAATATGGCCAGAAGTGATGCTGTTTGGCCTCCAAGTCATCGAAGGTGGTGACGTCTCTCTCTGTCTCTCAGGATGTTTGACCTCTGAAGTCATCTGCCATGTCGTGAGGAAGTCTAGGCCACATAACAGGAGCCATGTGCAAAAGTTCCAGCCAATGCCCAGCTGAGACGTCGGCTGCTCAATCACCAGCATCGGTAGTCAGTGAAGTGAGCAAGCAAACTTCACGATTCCAGCTCCAGCCTTCCAGCTGGGGCCCCACTGGGCTCTGTCCAAATTCTTGGCTCACAGAATCTGTGAGCCTCATAAACAGCTCTTTTACTCCTTTGAATAGGAGGCTACTAAGAGTTTGGACTTTGAGTCAGGAGCTGTGGGATGTTTTCAAGCAGTGTGACTGCGGCACTGGCCTCTCTGAGCTCCTGAGCAGAGCGGAGACCCAGAAGAGAGGGAGGCCAGTGAGGAGGCCACACTACACCAGTCCAGGCCCCAGTAAGGAGGGGCCTTAGGGCAGAGAGGAAAGGAAGGTGGGGGGTGGGAGGCACAAGAGAACGCACAGAGGCCAGGCAAAGTGGCTCACACCTATAATCCCAGCACTTTGGGAGGCCAAGGTGGACGGATCACTTGAGGTTAGGAGTTCGAGACCAGCCTGGACAACACAGCAAAACTCTGTCTCTACTAAAAATAGAAAAATTGGCCGGGCATGGTGGCTCACACTTGTAATCCCAGCACTTTGAGAGGCCAAGGTGGGTGTATCATCTGAGGTCAGGAGTTTGAGACCAGCCTGGCCAACATGGTGAAACCCCATCTCTACTAAAAATACAAAAATTAAGGCTGGCGCGGTGGCTCACACCTGTAATCCCAGCACTTTGGGAGGCCATGGTGGGCAGATCACGAGGTCAGGAGATTGAGACCATCCTGGCTAACATGGTGAAACCCCATCTCTACTAAAAATACAAAAAATTAGCCAGGCGTGGTGGCGGGCACCTGTAGTCCCAGCTACTGGGGAGGCTGAGGCAGGAGAATGGCGTGATCCCCCGGGGGCGGAGCTTGCAGTGAGCCAAGATTGCACCACCGCACTCCAGCCTGGGTGACGGAGTGAGAGTCCGTCTCAAAAAAAACAAAAAACAAAACAAAAATTAGCCAGGCAGCTGTAATCCCAGCTACTTGTCCTGTAATCCTAGCTGTTTGGAAGGCTGAGGCAGAAGAATCGCTTGAACCTGCAAGGCTTGCAGTGAGGTTGCAGTGAGCCGAGATTGCGCCACTGCATCACTGCATTCTAGCCTGGGCAACAGAGCGAGACTCTGTCTCAAAAAAAAAAAAAAAAAGCTGGGCACGGTGGCTCATGCCTGTAATCCCAGCACTTTGGGAGGCAAAGGCGGGCGAATCATCTGAGGTCGGGAGTTCGAGACCAGCCTGACCAACATGGAGAAACCCCGTCTCTACTAAAATACAAAAATTAGCCAGGCGTGGTGGCACATGCCTGTAGTCCCAGCTACTCGGGAGGCTGAGGCAGGAGAATCACTTGAACCGGGGAGGTGGAGGTTGCGGTGAGCCAAGATCGTACCACTGCACTCCAGCCTAGGCAACAAGGGTAAAACTCC